GTTGTATGTGGCAAAAATTAACTCACACCTTTGTTTAGTAAATAGAAAAATCATAGCATCTATCTAGAAAAACCAAAAGAGTATCCATGCTTAGCCAGTCTATGTTCATATCGAGAATGTATTTGTGTGTCTACATGAAAATTTCCACATCGAGATAAAGAACAATTCTCAGCAATTTGCTGTTTTTTCCTTTAATTTTTTTTTTTTTTGTTTTTTTTTTTTTTTTTTTTTTTTTTTGGCAATCAGTGTGGCTGTGGAACACAGTATAATGAATTTATTTATTCTCATATATAACAAACACGTAAACATGTTCAAATATATCTCTAGCGGTGGCAACCGATGCCAAAGGTATGTTATACTCATCTCAGTTTTTTAATTCTTTTTTTTTTTTTTTTTATATTTGTTTGTTTGTTTGTTTGTTTGTTTTACATTTTTTTTTACAATTTTTTCTTGATTTTCTCATTAAATTACACAATTTTGTGTGTTTTGTGGTTTTCTTTGTTTCAAATTTTTGTGCCGGTGTACTCTTTCCTTTTTCTCGCTTTCTTTGCGGCACTTGCGACACTTTATACGGCGTTGAAAAGGTGTACAAAAAATAAACTGTCTCGAGAATTTTACTAAAATTTTAACGAAAACTAAAAATATTTATCACTGCTGCTTCACTGTCCTGCACTAGTTATTAACTTCATCTCATCATTTCGGTCTTGTATTCAACAAAGATTTTGATTAATTGAAATTTCTTAAATAATTTACACAATTTATGCAAAGATTTCTAAGAGAAATTTGTAATAATAGAAAAATATTTTATTTATACAACGAATGGACTTAAATGTTGAAAAACAAGAGCACAAGTTATCCAGGAATCTTTCCAAAAATGTTCGTCTTTACCATTGAAGCTAACCAATGAATGAATGTTCTGTCCGGTTCAGGTTTTTTATGCAATTTTTCGGCATTGTATGCATTTCTTATTAGACTTAATGATGCACGTTTTTGCTTTCTTGCTTTTTCTGTTCAGCAAGACAGTTATTCTTTCGTGGAAGTAGTGGTGCTTTGTAGTCATCTAATTCGAGCTATTCAAGGACTATGGAGCTTCGGATTTAGAGAGGGAACTCTTATAGATAGCGCGCGTGCATTAAGAGATTAAAGACTATCGGTGGATATTGTATTGACTAAGCCTCTCCTTAAAAAATCTCATAAGTTGTCCATACTATGAAACTCATCGTATAACGAATACTTAAGAGAAATATTCTAGGGGGTTCGTCTTTATTGGGGAACGAAAACGAAGAACCCTGTTTTTTTTTAAAATGACTGACTTGTGAGGAAATTCAGCCAAATTTCGAAGACTTTATAAGTTCCATAAGAACTTGCAACAAGTTAACTATGCTAACGTTTTTATATAAAGTTTCAAGTGGTAATTGTCCTCCTGATCCTCCCCGTACTCCCATCACTTCTTGAGCACGTTGTCATGAACGGAAAATAAAGGTTAATGAGAAATTAGTGGAAGACGAAATTACGATAAACAATACGCACAGAGACACACACACACTGCTGGCCGAAAACAAACGATTTAGAATTAGAAGATCAAAAATAATTTACGATTATTTATTTACATAATAGATATGGACATAAAAATTTTATTATTGTTTATGAGAAGATCTTTAAATTGTGTTCCGAGTTAAATATTAGATGTTCCCATCACTCTGTGGATAGATAGCAAAATTAGGAAAACCAAAAAAGAATTATATATATATTCGGTTACTATACCCGAATCTTTTATATCCATCATAACATTTATAGTAAAATAAGTTCAAAGCTACTTGAAACGTTCTCTAATATTTCCTGGTTAGGGGGCGTACTCAATTTTTTATCATTTCGGTACAAACGCTGCAAAACCCCTTAGTTCTCTTTGTTTTGAAAGCAGAGGCGTTCTCATTTTATATTGGATTGTAGGCTCATCCTTTCCTCAATTTGACCAACATTTACATTACATACACATTTACATATTTACATATAAATTTTTTTTTTTTTAATATAATCAATTTCTTAGAGGGTTCTCCCTATAGGGGTAACACGATGACGGTAAGAAAGAAGGAAGGAAATAGAGAGAAATAGGGAACAGCGACAGACTGACTTATGTGTGAATGTTTTTGACAAAATTTGAAACCGATGTCTTGACTCTTTCACTCGAAAGTATCTGTATCATACATATGTATAGATAGTCCAGGCTGATTCACAATTTGGCACTTATGAAGACTGTAGAGTATATGCTGCATAGACTCTGTCATACTTGTTTTCGCCGTTTGTGAAGGATTCGGTAAAATGGATGTATATCCAACCCCAAAGCGGAGGATACGAGACAACATTTATATTATGAATACACTCTATTTAGGTGGGTTGTAGTCACTGCATACACGAACGTTCGGTATAAAAATTATACAAAATTTGAAAACGAAAAAAAACGGAATCAAATCACATTCGAAACAAATTTTATATAATCAATTACTTTAAATTGAAGGGCAGAGGAACTCAAAGCAATATAATTGCACCAATTCCACCTAGTATCGGTTGCCACAGAGGTATACAAGGCTAAAGGATTGTCATTCAATTCGATTCGAAATATTAAGTAAAAATAAATAGGAAGATACAGGTGCTCTTTATTTAATGATGTAAAAAAATTGGTTATTAAAATAATAATGACGTGGTATTATCTATGTTCGAGCAATGAGTAAAGGCTTAAATTTACAATAAAGTTTAGTTGCAACACCTATCAACGTTTGTAAGAAAAATGTACTATGCCGACGACAACTTAATCTCTTTGCGTTTTATTGCCATCATTGCTAGACACTAATGTTTATGTTCGCTTTTAAGTATTATGGAAAAGATGAAATAAAAACATTTGAAATTAACTAAAAAAATTTCTTTTATATTTTTCATCTGATAATTTTGTTTATTTTTAGAGAATTGAAGAAAAACAAACATTAGACGAGAACTTCCAACATTTAATGCGATAATTAAAGACATTAAAAATTTTCTGTGTGATCATTCAGTGTAACCTCGGTCGTTCAATGTTAGCGGAGAATAGAAAACACAACATTTCATTAAAATTTGTTTGATATAAAAGGAAATCCAGTGAAACCGCGTTAAAACAATTACAAAACTTATCCAAAGATGACGTTAGTAAGAGGAAGAAACAAGAGGAGAAAATTTACAAAAACAAACATAAACTCCGTCAAATACATATACAGTGGCAAACATCGGAATATATGGATTTTAAGGGAGTGAAATGAAAGCGAGTCAGACAGACAGATAAGTATATGAAAAGTATCTGGGGAAATTTACCTTAAGAATCTCTTAATCGCTTACGCGCGCGCACACACACACACACACATAGGCACTTGAAGGAAATGACTAAAGTTTTCTATACATTCACGTTAAACATTTTTGCTATGCTTCAGTTAATTGTAACAGAGATAAAATACTTTGTGGCACTTTACCGGGAGTAAAAAAAAAGGAAAAAAAGAAAGAAGAAAAACGAAAGGAATTGAGAGGGATCGAGCGTATGAATACCACAATAACCACTTAATGTAGTACTTGTGAAATAACGTCTTGCAAGAATACCTTGAATGAGTGTTACAGTGCGGTAGTAGCAGCACTTCAGAGTAACTTAAGTAATTCTCTTTGAAAACGATGACACAGCGATAAGGTTTACCAGCATATTTTTTAATCATGCCAATGATGTTCTGCTGATTATGACGACGATTACGTAAATATATGCTCGTGAATTTTTCATTTAGAAAAGATGCAAAAGTATGTGTGCCACAGAGATTACAAAAAAGAAACAAAAAAAAAAAAAAAAAAAAAAAAAAAAATTATGTGTTAGACAAGGATTATTACCTTGATAACTAACTTACTTGCATACTCTCTCCCTGTGTGTTATTGTTATTATTATTATTAGGATAATGCTGAAGACGACGACGATGACGGCGATGATGATGACGATGATGATGAGAATGATGATGGCTATGTTTTCAACTTTACAAAGAAATTTTCATTTTATTTTTATTAAGACTCTTAAAATATTCATAGGCTTAAAATACCTAAAGCACATACATATGTTTAAAATCAAAATAAAAAAAAAAAAAAAAAAAAAAAAAAAACTTTTTTTGAGCTCAAAAATTTTTTAGACAAAAACTTTCATCTTCTTATGCAACTTAATGTTCATAATGTTGTAGCTCATGTCAAAGTTAATTTAGTGGAAAATTACAAAATTGTTATTGTTATGTTGACCTCGTGACTCGTACTTTTCTATATATGTTTGTTGCCTGTCTATGCGCAAGCATGTGTCCAAAAAACACCGCATGGAATAATGCAAAATTTACGTGACATTTATTTTACAAAAGTCAACCTACAGATGTGCATGTGTATGTGTGTGTATGTGTGCTTTTATAAGTCTCGGTACGTTTGTGTGTTTACTCAAAAACACTTGACTTCCTTTTCCTTTAAAAGCTTACTTCCGTTATTTCACTTGGCACACATCTACATCTATATACCAACACTTACGCTAACAACGTTTGTACGTTTGTATTTTCTGTACACCCTCAACCCATATGCGTTTAAAATCCTTTTACAAATAGTACTGCATTTGACTTATGACAAATTTTTCGGTTTTTTATCTCAATTTCCTTTTAAAACTTTCCTTAAACAGGAACGGCAGCAGCAGCACCAACAATAATAACAACAATTGAAAAATAAACATCTTTTACCTTACGATTTAAAAGAGCAAGAAAACAAAAATGAAAAAAAAAAATATTACGTCCAGTTTCAGTCCATTTACTCCACACATAACAGTAAGAACACAAACAGTACAAGACTAAATTGACTTTTCTTTTTGAAACAGTTAGTCAGTACACGTACAAAATGACAAATTTCCGTGCTTTCACTTCAAAGAAGGAAAAACGATGCGAAAAAGTCTCATAAGAGTAAAATTTACTTTTACTTACCCACACTTAACACACGTCGCACATACTCGTACGGCACGGCATGGCATGGCATGGCATACCTATGCCGGTAGCAAGAACTAAACAAGCAGAAGCAGCAAGTTGCCGACAAATCATATATAAATGACTTGAGGGTTATTATTGTACCTAGAAGAAGAATAAGAAGAAGAAGAAGAAAAATAAAAACTTTTAAAATGTTTGCATTCACCTACACGTGTAAGTAGTAAGTACGTACGCGATATATGTGAGTGAGTGTGCAGATAGCATAGTTAATGGTATGTACATTATTTTTACGAGTATTGCATTTTATTGGTTTGCCAACGTCAACGATGTACATGACGTAGTTCTACAATCAAGTACCTTTTTCTGATTAACTATCATAAGGCATTTCATTTTCACTTTAAATCTCTCTTGAGCTCGTTTAGTCACATAAGCTAAATTTAGTAGACGTTACTACGTTACGCTTCTATAAAGAAAAACATTTTTAAGATTTTTAGCAGCTAGCCAGGTAAAAAGCTTTGAAGAGTCCGTAAATTATAATCTCAGGACAGCAGTAATCGTTGTAAGACTGCATGCTCGATTTATAGCCAATGGATGGAAGTGCTATGTCTTCCTGTATGAGTTCTCAAATCACGCTTATATCCATGTAGATAGAGAAAGGTGTACATACATACATACATGTGGATGGCTTCCAATAAGGAGAATTTGAAGGCACTCGGGTACTTCTTACGACATCGCTGATAAAATTATTGTTCTGGGAAACCATCACTACAATCGAAAATGTAACTAACTTTTAACAGAGAGACAATAAATAGTTGTTGTTTTTTTTTTACAACCTGTACTATTAAGCAATACATTCAAAACTATGAAAACATGGAAAATAATGTTTAAAAAAAGTAACTTGCTGAGATTTTATGTGCATGCATGCGATTATGGTTCATAACGTGAAAAATTTTTACAAGCGAATTCACCTATAAAGTCAAAACGTACAGTTTTATATATAGAGAAAATAAGTAAAAAATTGAAGTATGGGGCAAGGCCGATCTATAAGACACCTGTACCACATTGTTCAATTCAATTCTTCATTTACTTTCATGTCAGAGCTGAATGAAAGTTGACGGGAGCCTGGTAGGGAACTAAAAATACAATCTGTTATGCCCCAAATTCAGCAAAATGTTCTCAAAGTTCTCATTATATTCATTCTTTTTCCGCATAAAATGTTGAAAATTGGAGTTTGCTGTCAAATAAAGGCTTACCGTTAATAAGAATTTTCATATGGGATATAGTCTAAAAAATAGAGCTACCTGGTCCAAATTCAGTACACTTGCTTTTTATGGCAAATGCATCTTACAAAGCAATTTTCATTATAAAATAGTAAAAGTTAGACTCTTTTGTCTTACAAAGCTTTACTTTTCTTAGTAGAAGCACTATATAAAAGATAATTGAAAAAATTGGCCCATGCTCTCGCAATATTTCGCCTAACTTTTTTCATTAACGGAATAAAAATATTTAGCGATTTTTTCCGTGAAATTTCAAAAATTCCAAGACTTTTTCATATAATGACTTTTGTCTTGTGATTTCAGGCCTAAATCGATTCAAAGAATAATGTTGAGCAGATCGCTATGAAAGAAGGTGACTTCATCCTAAATCCATCTCTAAATCCGTACAAAAGACGGTTCAGGGTGCACAATGAGTGTCGATAAAAGAAGCAGCAAAGAAGGAAAAAGATGAGAAGGCTATACTTGTCTTCAGGTTCTTTGCAAATAAATGCAACTAAAGTTACTCTAAAACGTTTTCTAATGGTGAGTAAATAGAAGTCTATTAAAAATCCAAAAGCATGGAACTGCATTATGATTTCTTAAGTACACCAAGTATCATGGCTTTATAAGTGAATTACATTTTTACCTTGAAGTTGATTTAGGCAATTGCAGCCCAATTAATTTGATGATAAGAATATCGAATTATCAAACAACATATAACTGCGAACTTTGGAAGGTCGAAAAAATAGTTGAACAATGTGTATAAACTTTGAAGATGGCTTTGATGCCGCCTTACGGAAAGAATGGAAGAAAACTAACGGCTTTTAATATTTAGTGGTCAGAGCACTAGTGTACGGGTTCACCTAAGTTCCATTTACATTTCAATTTTTATTGTTTTTTTTCCCTTTTTTTCATACACACATACACACGTACATACACAAAAGCACTTACCCGAAGTGCAAAGTCTTGTACAACATCAATACACGTTTGTGCATTCGCACACATATGCGATTTCTTCAATCACTTAAGTAGCTTGAGAAAACAAGAATAACAACAACAAAAAAAAAGAAAAGCAAAGCAAAGAAAAGCAAAGAAAAGCTTTTTCCCTCACTATAAGAATTTTGCAGAATTTTATTTAAATTTTCTGCGAGAGTGCATAAGATAATCAACTGCACTATAGTGGAGAAATGAAAATTTATATTTATTTAGTCATTTAATAAAATAAATATACATTTTTGGCGACAACGTGTAATTAATTGTGTACGCGTTCATGTTTAACTTTAAATTGGACAGCAATGAATTTATGTAGTTGTGTGAGATATTCTACAAAACTTAACATAGAAGCAAACGAATGAAATGTTTAGAGAAATAAATATTAAAAAAAAATAAGAAAAAAAATAAATAAATAAAATTGCACTAAAATTTATTGGACATGAGCCAATTAATGACAAGAATTGTGAAAACGAATAAGAAATAAACCATAAAATGGAAACAATCTTCGAGAAATCACCTTCGCTAAGTGCGACGATAGTCTAGTCGAGAATCGAAGTTGCATGCTCCTCTATATGCGCACATATAATGGCACATTAGCAATATGAGAAGCGTGTAAAAATTAGTTCATTATACCTTTACTAAGCATTGGTGGTGCCATAAATCGGGAAGCATAGCATGCACTCTTGATTTCAGTAAGACTTTGGCTCAATTTAACTATCATATATATGCGTTCACATATCTACCTACCTGTTGTTTAAATGTTCATGCGGATCGATGACATACGTACATGAAAATATGCTCCGAATAGCTTTTGCAAAATGTTAACCAGTTAACGGTATGTATGAAGAGTACGTACGCCATGATCCGTCTAGCGATCTTTCTTGGATTTTCTCATCAAATTTTATCATTATGAATGTGTGCTTGCCGTGATAATGTATTTTAGAGTGTATGTTTTTTTTTTTTTCCAATTTCAGTCACCTCGCACTCTACCTTTGACGCATATAGGCAAGTATATAGCGAAAGAGGTCGTTACAGTCAACTGGTTAATAGAGTTAAGAGTCCTTTGCTTTTCCAATTTATTAAAAAGAAATTATACTTGGGATTATTCATTATACTAACCCTGTCGGCCCATACATATCGAATTTTAGGAACGAAAACCTAAAGTTGTTGCTGTTGTCAATTCTGTACTTGACATGTTCTGATCGATAGATGAATGACATGAAATCACGTTTTTAAGTTTTTCATTTTCGGTATTGAAATGCTATTCGAATTTATCCTGATCGGCTGTAGGCGAACAATCTGTTTGAGGCTTAAACAGGAGATGCCTCTCAGACGTACGTTTATGAAAATGAATTTTAATAATTCAATATAATTATATTACTGTACGCCTAATTGATAAATTATCATCATTTAATTATATCATTGCTCATATATGAACGAATAAATTTTTTTTCCAAATTACTCTACACTAACTATATACGCAAATTATAATTATATACATATATACATAAATAGATATTGATAAACATGTTTTTAGCAAAAGTTGTCGTGTGTGTACACACACGAAAATTGTTTTACCCCAAGAAACTCTTCTAAAGCACATTGTAGCTATATTAAGGCGGGAGAATGCGAGCGGAAGGAAAAGGTTTGAAAGAGTAATATGTACTTTCGTCATATTACAATAATAATAAGCAAGTTGATGTCTCCACGCCCGATGTATATTACATGGTAAACAATCATTGATTAGAGGTATTGAAGAGATATTATGAATATAATGAAAATTTTTGCCTGAGAGATAATCTGCCAAAGACGACAATAACAACATATCAAGAAAAACAAATTGAAATAAACATTAGACGACATTGACATAAAAGAAATGAAGAAGGGATACAATCATCATATAATGTATGTAAAACTTGAATAAATGATAATTTAGGAAATTTAATTTAAGAAAATATTTTAGTGAATTCTGCCTTCACAACCTAACCTGAACTTATTGCTCGATGAACACTCTATACCGCACTGTTGGTTAAGCAATTGGTTTTTAGGGCATGCATTAGAAGTGATGTCCACATTTTTAAGTGTAACGGTAGGGACGACTAAATAGAGAACAATATAGAGAGACTCGTGAAGTCATACTCGTTATTATCGTAGTGGAACAAAATTTTTCTCATTTCTTTGACTTCTTTTTCTGCGTTGTTTTCTTTTGACGGAAACAAATTGGACATTAACTGCGGAAAATTCGATACATCCGTTTACTAAAAACGCGTTACAATCGACAGGTTTCTCCATTAAGTTTCCTCTCTTCATTGGCAAGTAATCGTTTGAATTGATTCCTTTCTTGTCCTGATGCTCTTCCTAAGTATATAATTTTTGGCTTCCCGGTTGGCTTGATAATATACTCGTTGCACAATTTATGATCAGGTTGTAATACGGAAGGGAACCAATTGAAAATGTGGTGGTTGGGCGTTTGATTATTCTTATCGAAGGAGAGATTTATATACATGCATGATATGATGAGGTCTGGGCGAGACTGACACCAGTTATTACATTTCTTTTTCTCTGTTTTCCATCGAAATCAATTCAAATATAATTCTTGGGAGACTTCTGCCGACGGGATGTGAAAAGTAAAACGAGTGCCGTTATTAAGGTAACTTATTAATCCAACTTTATTTCTAATTACTGGATACTTGAAGAATATCTGCGATATTTTTGTAAATTTCAAACGATATTAAGTACTATTTCCTCACTTTTTTTACTTTTGTTTTTTTTTCTTTTCTGTAGCAGTTTTCAGATTTCTAATAAATTACTATGCGGCTAATTCACAATTTGCCACATAATAATTCAAATATTAATTTGTCGCCACCCTAAAATCGTTCATACTGTGCAAGTAAA